AAGAATTCATCGGCAAAACTCATCGATTCCAGCCCTGAGACTTAATAAATAAGCAGATTACGGCGAGAATCGCCTCTGGTGGAACACGCCGTCAACTAATAGAAGATCAAGATCAGTGTACCATGATATCGTGCGACGTGCACATTGGAAATACAGTACCGTGACCGTGCCTCATAGTTATTCTCGAATCTCGTTAGTTACAGACTTACAGGACACGGGCGACCGAGCATCTCTTGGTTTCTTCTCTCAACTTCTCAAGTTCTGTGTGTCGGCGGTTCGTGGTTGGCATTTTGCTGGGAATACAAGAACTCGTTGCTTGTCTTTATCCGAGTTTGCTACCTCGTCGAGGTTGATCTATAGATGCCCCAGCTATACACCTATTTTGGACAGGAATCACCATAAAATTTTAGACTAAATAAAACGTAAAAATGGTCACTACAACTGCTGTGTTTTGGGTAAGTTTTAAGCCTACATATACAAGGCTGCAATGATGCAATCTGCTTGGTCATTGCCAATAATGCCATTAATAGTTAAAATATTTTTTATCCAATGCATATGGCATATTTTTTCAATTATTTTTTTACACAAGCACAACATTGATTGAGGAAGTGACATTGTGACAACATTAATTATTTTGCATTTGGCACATTTTCATTATTACTTACCGTACTTCATACCAAATTACCAAATAGCCATGATACCTGATGATTATGGTAATAGTGTGACTTTGGTTAATGGGCATAATGGGTGCAAAATTAAATTTATTATGAAAAAAATATGCATTTAAAACTACTTTTAAAAGAAAGGACTTCTAAAGAGCAAAGCAGAGAGTTTTTTAGACTCTCCCTTAAGTTCATTTGTGAGTCCTATAATAATAATAATAAGTAGACCAGTGAAGTACTATCCTGGATACCAGCAGTACCTATCATATATAAGAAATTGATTTAAATATTGGGTAAATGAGGAAATTAAAAATGAACTGATTCTAAAAAATTTGTGGTTTGCCACTATGGGACATGGGTACAGTAAAACTAATCATTTATTTTATTTCTTATATATTTTCAATATCGTATGAAAAAAATGTTGTAAATTATTTATTCTGTCAATTGATTCATGCATTATCAATTTGTCTCTAATTATGCAAGTGTGCAAACTTTCAGATCAATTGGACAGGTAGAAGTGTGTTAAATATCAATGATAAGATTTGTAGCCTGTTAAGACAAACTAACAAATAAGAAGTGAAGTTGAAGAGAAGTGTTGCAAAAAGAGAAGTCTTGTCTACCTCTCTATTAAAATCATTTTTTATTTTATGGCATTCATGGGTAATAGTGTTATTCTCATTTCCATATAATTGTTGATGAATTCTCCAAAATATAACAAATATTGTTAGAGATTTAGTAGCTTTGTATGCCAATTTGCCAGATTGTCAATGCTCAATGGCATGTCCATGGATACAGTAATATCACATTAATAATACGGTAATTAATGAATAGGGTAATATAATATCAATAAAGGAAAAACAAGTAAAAATCACAGAAAATGTCATTTATTTTACATCTACATCATCTACAATGAAAGAGGAGGACTTCAAAGTACTGTTAGTAATAGATGAGTACACTCTGCATGCTTCAAACGTTTTAAAATTAACTTTTATAGCAAGTGTCCCGGATTACCCCGTTCCCAGGGGTAAATCGGGATGGTTTTATTTTGCGTCTGGCACCTTACAAATAGCATATGGAATTTTTTTGAAGATGCCATTGGATAGCCCTTGCAAAGAGCTATAAAATGAGCCTAAACTTGTTTCTGAAATGTTTCATGGTAAGAAGTTATTAACAAAAAACGCTCAAAACCATCCCTTTTTACCCCGTTTGATGGTACGTTTTCTTATGTTAACATTTTATTTCTTATATATTCTTAATAAATGAAAAAAAATGTGTAAATTATTTATTCTGTCAATTTATTCATGCATTGTCTCTGACTTTACGCAAGTGTGCAAACTTTAAGATCAATTGAACAGGTAGAAGTGTGTTAAATATTGATTATAAGATTTGTATCAGGCAAACAAACAAGAAGTAAAGTTGAAAACAAGTGTTGCAGAAGTCTTGTCTACCTCTCTATTATAATCATTCTTTATTTTATGGCATTCATGGGTAATAGTGTTATTCTCATTGCCATATAATTGTTGATGAATTCTCCAAAATATAACAAATATTGTTAGAGATTTAGTAGCTTTGTATGCCAATTTGCCAGGGTTGGCATTGATTAAATCAAATTGTTTAAATCATTTGATTTTTTAAAAAATCTTGATTCTTTATTATTTTTTATATTTTTATATATATTCAAATATATTGAGTGGCAGTCTTTAATTTATAGCAAGGTATTGTTATTCATGATTTAGTTAAAATGTACTATGTATGACAAATTGGAATATAAACTTGTTGCCTTTAATGTGTATTAGGTTCCAATGAATTATATGTTTTTGGTACAGTGGCATCAAGTGTTGCAATACCTACATTGTGCATAGCTAGCTAGCAGCTTAGCTAATTCTTATAAGGCTAAGTAGTCTTTAACTAATTATTTGACTATTTGTTATATATTAATTACAATATATGATATAAATGTGTTAGCTAGCTTATACATGGTGAGGCAGAACCAATTGAGCAGTTTTGAGGCAAAATAAAAGATTAATGGAGGTACATAAAGAAGAAAGTTTATTTTCCTCAAGGTTAGCATAACACACCATTTAGAATACTTATGTTTTGAAAACATTATTAGGAAAATGGTGTCCATTAGCTGCATCACACTGTTGGAGTCGTTTTGTTGCAGCTAATGGCCACCATCTTCCAGATATTGTTTTCAAAACAGAAGGACGTATTCTAAATGGTATGTTATCCTAACCTCAAGGAAAATAAACTTTCTTTGTTATGTACCTCCATTACTCTTTTATTTTGACTCAAAGCTGCTCAATCAGTTTTGCCCCACCCTGTATATTGAGAGGTTGAGATTGTATTGACCTTTTAGGCAATTAGAAAGATTTTCCACCCTAATATGAGTACCATAGGTACCTATACTAATTAAAATATTTAATTTCAATTTTTAAATATGTCAATTTAAAACTAGACAAAACAATTACAATTATAAAAATATATATAAAATACTAATTAAATGCAGTGAATGGAAATAAAATGTTTGAATTGTGCATATATTTATTTCAAACAGTGTTAGCTTTTCTCATAACATTAGTCTCCCTTCAAGTTGTTTGAGGTTTGTTTGGTTATCATTCGATTTATGTTTAATATTGGTTCATTTTTCTGAATCAAATGGGAAGTGCAGTCAGTCACTCAGTCTCTACTAGTTGGTGTGTTTAGAGGGTAGAGTCTGGTGGATTTATAGGACATAAAACTCGTAGATCTATTGATAGTGTTGTGCACTGTGCTATCAGCTACCTATCTGTTATGTGACTCTTCAATGTTTAGAAGATCGACATTCCGGAAGTGTTTTTGTATATTGACCTCGGTTAAATGGTCAATAATTAGCTTGTTACCTTGCTCCATACAAACTTTACAAAGCTAATGAATAGACTTATCAATAATTGTTCACCCAAAAATCCCTAAGTGGGAAACACCACCTTGGCCATTATTGAAGGCAATAAGTGCCTTTTTTAGCCATCAATTTTGATCCATATACTGTTATTATTAGTAGGATAATTGCAACATAAAAAATAACATTTCAAAAAGCTGAAAAAATAAAAAAATCTAACTTAGTACTCACTGCAGTGAGTGACAGAGAGTGCATTTTCTTGTCGACGAAAACTTGAGGTCACAGACAGACAGACAGACAGACGGACAGACAGACAGACGGACATGGCAAGCACAATAGTGCATTTTTTCCATAAATGAAAAAATGCGCTAAAAATCATATAAATAAAAAAAATCACCAACCCTGTAATTTACCAGTTTCCACATGTACACTACCGTACATTCTGAGCCTTGACTAGTGACTACCCTCAATAATAGTTAAAATATTAGTTTCATTTCAGCTGATGCCACACTTAACTCACTGCTTAGTGCTTATTGATAAAATCTCAAGCATAGTAACAAACAAGTGAATTCTTAGAGAGGTATCAAATTAAACAGTACTTGTAGCATTTTTGAAAGGCCATCAAATAACTAATCACAGTCTGGAGTGGAACAGTGGATGACATCACAATCTTGACCAATCACAGTATGGGATGAATGACATCATAAGCAATTATTCTGGAAATGGACATGCATCTGCCCAAAAATGACAAACTTCATGCACTATTCTAAAATTTGTGTAGTTTGGCAGAAGCTGTTCTTTAATGCAGGTTTCATTGAAGACATATATTCTAAAATTGCACACACTGCTCAGTGGGTCCATAATCAATCTGGAAAAGGAGACAGAATTTTCTCAAATGCATTGGTAAGAATGGCTGCTTTACAGGCATTTTTTAAAATTTGTAGTCACCTATGTGATGTCTTAGTTAATCATCAGAAATGAAATTTGGTAAAGGCCACAGAAATGGCTGAAATTGCCTGCAGGCTCAGGTATATATTTTTTCTCTCATTCATTCACTTGAAAGTGTTTATTGAAGGCTGGTGCTGACTTTAAACTTGAGGTCTTGAACTTTAAACTTAAGGTCTTTGAGTACTATGTATAATTAAAGATTCTTATATATGTAATTGCATGAAATGAATTACTAGTAAGAATCCCAATGTTTTTGCAGAATTACTAAATTTTTGCAATTAAAGGGATTTATTCAATACAATTTATATATAATTACAAATAAAATCCCAATTTAGTAAAAAAAATATAATTCCTGCAAAAGTTCAATCATTGGTTGGAAAGTAGATAACATTCACATCTGATTATGCTATTTTTAGTGCATTTTCTCATTTATGGAAAAAATGCACTATTGTGTTTGCCATGTCCGTCTGTCCGTCCGTCCATCCGTCCGCCCGACTGTCTGTCCGTCCGTCCGTGACTTCACGTTATTGTTGATGAGAAAATGCGCTCTCTGTCACTCACTGCAGTGAGCACCGAGTTATATTTTTTTATGAATTTGTTGGGAAAAATGATGCTCCTAGGAGTTTAGGCTGGAGAATTTTTCTATTTCAACAAAATCTTATGGCTTTGAAGTCATATGTTTTAAATAATTTTTAAATTGTGCAGCTCTATCATTCAATAGTAGGTACTATAAATAATTTAATGGAAGCCAGGAGATTTCTGGTGTATATTTCATCTTGTGGGAATGGCCTGGCTCCTAAAATGACATTAAATCTGTAGTCATTTCTTAGAGTAGATATTTTCAACACAAGCAAGAAGCTAACAGCCTGCACAGTCCTAACTGAATAAATAATTTACAACATAGGCTAGGAATGGAGATTTTCTGCCAAGACGCTAGAAGGCAATATCACAATAGTCTAAAAAGTATAAATTTGTTATTTGGCTAACATTGTTTCTTGGTATTTAGTAAAAGTTTTATTTCCAATTTCAGAGAAAAATGCGAGACTTGGGTTATGTTGCAGTTGGTGGAGCAGCATGTTTTTGTGGGATTTTATACTACAAAAATGATCCTAAATTTCACAGGTATGTTACTCATCTAGTTATTTCTCACTTAAAATCAATAGGTAGTTAAAGTTGGTCTCATATCATCATTTGTTGCATTTAATTAGTCAAAATGTTGAATTGCCATATCCAAATTCATGTTAATGACATTGTCGTGAGACACTCAATATTTTAGATTTCATCTCAGGTAGAATGTATACTATTTATTAAAAATTCATTCAGTTTGAACAAAAAGGAATCATTTACAGGAATTCATCTGTAATTATTACTCTATTAGTAGATGACAAAATTTCTTGAGTCATCACTTCTGATTACCAATTTTCTCAATCAAAAATTATAAGTTTCAAACAATAACATTCATGGTGAAAATGAATGGTGAATTGGGATCCTTTGCCAACTACATTAATTTGACATTTTGACCCAATAAAAAATAACAATTTCACTGTTTTATTAACAAATAAGCTGCAGTAAAATCACTCCAGCACATGAAGGATGCAAAAAATATTACCTTGTTTTGAATAAATTAACAAGAATACAGGTATCATGCTTAAAATGTTAACAGGATTGTCACAGTACCACTGCTGCATGCAATGGATCCTGAGCGAAGTCATCGTCTGTCAATATTGGCTCTGAAATATAAGCTGCTTCCAAAACGACAGGACACTCCACACCCAAGTTTGGTAAGATTGAATATGCCTGTCAGGCTGTCATTTAATTGTGTTATGAAAGTTTCATGTTGGTATGATTAATTTCAGGGAGAGTTACTATCTGCTTGGCAAAAAGAGATGATAATAATAATAAATAAATTACAAACTCCACACCCAAGTTTGGTAAGATTGAATACTATGCCTGTCAGGCTGTCATAAAATTGTGTTATAAAAGTTTATTGTTGGTATGATAAATTTCAGGGAGAGTTACTATCTGCTTGGCAAAAAAGATAATAATAATAATAATAAAATTCAAATGAATTAATTAATTTGGATTTTGCCAAAAATTTGAAGCTGATTTGTATTTTCACTAATGTAGATTATTTGCATAAATTATGTTGAATTAAAATCAACTAAGAGTATTTTATATTTCTGCTACTTTTTGTTTTATGTATTGGAAGTTTTTACCAAATTTTTAATTTAGTTATTAAACAGTAAAGAGTACCTAATTAATCAATGAATTTTTAAAACAAAACTCAGCATCAAGATAGGGTAATGCTTATAAACTATTCCAAATGCATATGTATTTTGAGAGCTTATATATATATAGTAGATTAAAGATCATACAACATATGTGCACATTTATAACACAAAAGTTTGTATGTCCTACCAGGTGCAAGATAATAATCATTATTGTGCTGGTCCATGAACTTAATTAGTATATTATTGCAGCACCTCTTTATAATTTGATGTAACATATGATTAATCTTGATTTTGAGATTTTGTTCTTCAATCACTGTATTTGTAATGAATGCTAAAATGTATTTACTACATGATAAACGCCTCTACTTGCCAATCTACATAACTTGCAGTAAGTAAGATCAACATAACACTCAGCTTTGAAACTCAATTTGCAGAGAACAAAAATCCTGGGCATGGATTGCAGCTCACCGATTGGCTTGGCTGCTGGCTATGATAAAGACGGTGAAGCGGTCGAAGGATTATTCAGGCTGGGTTTTGGCTTTGTTGAGATTGGGTCAGTGACACCGAAACCTCAGCCAGGCAATCCTGGGCCTCGCGTTTTTCGGCTCTCAGAGGATGAAGCAGTCATAAACAGGCTAGTGCATTGAATTTTTTAATTCATATGCACAAGAACTATTCTCATTCTTTTAATACTGTTCGTGTAAATTTAAGGCATAAAATAGTGGAGTTTAGGTATATTGCTGGCCAATAATATAACTCCATCTGTAGGGTTTGAGGTACTTCAGATAAATCAATCTTTGTTGAACTAGTTATCAGATACGTAACTAAGAACTTGACCTTTTTGCATGCATCTAAGCCTCAAAATTTGTGAATTTATAACATTGAGCACCTATTTAAAAAACTACTGATGTAAATTTTACCTGATACCTCTCCTAATAATCTATCACTTATATTGTTATTTGTTCTTTTTCTGTGCAAAAAAAATCCAGAATTGTAACGGAGTTAACACTTTACAAAAGAAAAGACAGTTTACAAAACAAATAAATGTGAGGCAGAAACCAAGACGGTTTCTCATCACAGTGCCCGGTGCTAGATACAGTCTCCCAGAACAGTTATTCATTGCATATCTAATACAACCTTTAACTTGATAGATACGGCTTTAACAGTCGCGGCCACGCTGAGGTGTACGAGAACTTGAGCTCCCTACCACCACCAGGCCAACGTAACGCCCCTGTGGGCATCAACCTCGGCAAGAATAAGTACTCTACGGACCACGTCGCCGACTATAAGGAAGGGGTCAGATTGCTGGCGCCCCTGGCTGACTATCTAGTCATTAATGTCTCTAGGTGATGATCAGATACTTCTGTTTTAATTCGTAGATAATAAATTCAGTGCGACACATGTGGCTACTTAGATATGAATTAATAATGATTAGTATCTCGATGTTTTAGTGATCGATATGAAATATCAATTATAATCTCTATAATTTAGTAATGGACATATCAAAATTTCCAAGTGAAATGCATATACTTTTTCAGGGACGAAAAATACCTGCGAGATTTTCGTTGATCGGCTAGGATTTTTCTATGTTTGGAGTCCGTCCGGCGGCCGGAAAAACCTAGCTTCCCAGGTTAGGTCCAGTTAGGAACAGGTTCCATTAAAAATTTCCGATGCCGACCGCAAAGAACGGATTTCAGATTCTTAATCTACACCCCAAAAAACATATAATTAAAAAAACACCCTTTTTTGGATGCACTTAATCTAAAGTATTACCTAATACTTTATGAATATGTTGTTCTTGTTAGTACTATGTAGTGCTATTTGCGTGTTATAATAATTTGTTATCTTATCAGTCCCAACACCCCTGGCCTGCGCGGCCTACAAGCTGGCGGTGCTCTGGCCGAGTTACTGGACGGCGTTCAACTTGAACTCGCAGAGCACGTGAAGCGTCACCCACAACAACGCAGACCTCCGCTTCTTGTTAAGATAGCCCCAGACCTCAGCGAGAACGAGCTCAGAAACATCTGTTCTGTGCCTGTCTCTTATACACANGAAACATCTGTTCTGTGCTCATCAATAAAAAAGTGAGAGTTTTCAATACGGTAGAAGAAATATTGAGGGAACTTGATGTCATTATACTATAGATAACTAATAATGAGAGAACTTATTGCCCCATATTCATGGTGATATGGTAGATGTGTTAATAATTGATTACTATACTAACTTCATTATTGTACAAAATCGTTTGCACTGTCCACCGAGTACCTACTTCACTTCATAATATAATGTAATATAATGTAGGTAAATCGAAATAATGAGGAAATTTATTATTATATTATAGGTATCTAATAATGAGAGAACTTGTCACCCTAGATTCATGGTGATATGGTAGACGTGTTAATAGTTGATTATACAACTTCATTATTCATGCCATATTGAACACTAGATGTTCACACGATTTATGACAAAACTGTGTCTATGCAAACCAATCTTCAAATTTTTAGAATACGCCAATGCCCCTGCTTGATCATTCTTAGACGAATCGTTGCATCTATTTCATTCAAAATATTTAACTCTAAAAATTTTTTGACAGGGAACGTAGCCAGTAGTTAAAATTATATTTTATTGTATGAAAAATTGCGCATATAAAATTATGCTCATTTGAATGATAGCTTAATCATTAAAATCACTTGTTTGCTTAAATCGCAAGTTAACCAGGAATTCTTCTGAACTGAATTTTGTGAACTGACGATGGAGCTGCACTCCGAAACGTTTTCTCTTATAAAGATACATGGTGAATTTTTGTGGTATTGATTCTGCTTTTAAATTCCTGGATAGCTTAATCATTTTTAGAATTATTGCCCGACCTTAAATGCCGAAAAAAAATAACCAGTATGAAATTTTTTGACAAAATTGATCTTTTATTGAAGGTTGATGGCATCATAGTGGGCAACACGACGGTAACGCGGCCGTCGACGCTTCGTAGTTCACACAAGCACGAAGTTGGTGGCCTGAGCGGCAAGCCTTTGGAGGAAAGAGCTACTAACGTCATCAGGACTGTAGCTACTATCACGAAAGGTTGATTATGTTCTGATGAATATATAAATACGAAGGCCGGGTCATTCATTAATAAGACGTACGCTTCACTGAATTAATTTGTACATACAATACGTATACGTATTTCATAACCGAAAGTCGAAACTATGCAAAAGGGATTGATTATCGCCACTCGTATAGTGACATTTTAATTAAAAATATTCTAACTACGGCCTTTAGTTGTACGTTGTAGATAAATGTTCCTCATGTATTCTAGTCTCGGTTTTAAAAGGGCTAACGATATTAAACTAACATTGGTTACGAGTTTTTTTCGCCGTTAGATCAACGTCAGATGACTGGTGGCCGGTGGGTAGCTTTTTAGTAAAAAAGTAGCATAATTTTTCATATATTCCAGCTTGTCTTTAGTTGCTAAAACTATATAATTTACAATTAAAAATAAATCCCATAAATTCAGATTATTTCACAATATAAACTTGTGCAGGAGAGCTTCCGATCATCGGGTGTGGCGGCATTTGCGACGGTGCGGGCGTGTACGCCAAACTGCGGTCGGGGGCGAGCGCCGTGCAGCTCTACACGGCGCTCGTGTACGGCGGCCCTACCCTCGTGGCGGAGATAGAAGATCAGCTGCTGCATCTCATGACGTCAGTAAAAGTACTTTGAATTATTCAAATTATATCGGATTGCATAGGTTTAACTGTAGCCACACACTGTGCGATTATGACGTCAGTAAAATTACTATGAATTATTGAAATTATATTGGACTACACAGGTTCAACTGTAGCTACACTCGGTACGACTATAACGTCGTAAAATTATATGCGTCTGTTATATGAAGCCAGTCATGTAGCTGCTGCTGCAGACGACGAAGAGTAGTCGCTGACTATGAGGAATAGCTAATAATTTTAATATTTCCCTTCTAAATAAATGTCCAATAATTCCAAACTGAAATGGAGCTTCCACTACTGCATGTAATTAATGGTTCATCATCTAATCTAATTATTGCTGACCGACTCAGATTCACAGAGTCATTACCGTGAGCTAATTTAATCGTTTTAAGCTAACATTAATTTGCCGCTGCGAAGGTTGAGATCAGTTTCGAATCACTTCAAAAATTTATGGTCTAATTACGCATTTCCAAATCGTCACGGGAAACATGAATGCGCAGCAAAGTTTCTATCATGCATGAAAACCCACAGGCAAGGTTCACTGCAAGCGAAATTTAACTGTTATCGTTACGAAAAGTCTTAGTGAAATTCTAAATTAATTATTGATTGGTGTCATTTCATCGTCCTTCACTTTTCTGGACAGATGCCATGATACTGACGTGGGATGCCTAAAGACTTCTAAATTTTTCTTACGACTAGCCTTATTTTTCTATCATTTTTTGAAGAATTAGGTTTGTTGACATTTACTAGCATCCATGTGAAGATCGTTTGGCGGCACTGCCGCTCACTACTTAGTACTCACCAACCAAGAGCCTCTTTTAACTCGGCGCCAACATTGACAAATCTAATCTTGCCTCTGATTAACGGTCAATCCTTCAGGAAGTAACCTTGCTTAAATTGTGGTCGTAAATTTACAATTAGTTTTGAATTCTGAGAATTTGTTTAGAGACAATTTTAGCTTCATGCGATACCTATTTATCGGACACTTTTTTCAGAGTTTCTTAGTTCATGATTAAAACGAACACACATTTGAGATACGTTTCATCTAGACTTCCTTTTGAATTTGGTTCAATGAAAAGCTCACCGCCACAGACTAGCTTGGTGCTAAACTATGGACACTTATAATAATATTATTATGGATACTCCTATATGTGATATATATTTTATATATATATTATAGACACTTTTATATGTGAATTGTAACGCTTGACTGCCCGAATGACTTTTGACTTTCAAACTAACTTTCTTTGCAGACGGAACAACCGTACTATCTTTCAAGGACTCACAAACTACTGTAATTCTGAATTGCGACATCGAAGTCATGAATTATAGTTCAACTATTTGACAAAACAAGAGCAATAAATAGTGCCTGTATACATAACTACAATCAGCTTCATAAAGAAGAGATACAATAGTTAAGGTCATCAACGAAGAAATATAGTTAGATTTCAAAATACTATATAGTTCCTCTGTATCTACCAATGTAACGTTATTGAATAACTCTCAAAATAGAATACGCATTCTAGCAGAAGCTCATGATGAACAAAGCTAGATTTCAGGTAAAATTCACCATGAGTTAGAAAGATTCTTGCTTTACCTTAATCGGTACCGGTATTTGCGCAAATCGATCTCGACGTAAATAAAAAAATGTTCAAGTTTTGACTGAATTTTTTAGCAGGGAGAAGTTGAAGAAGTCTTGATAGGTTGATTGAATTCAAGGCAAACCATTCCATCTTGGAATTCGACTTCAGTGTCCCCATCTTTACATTCCGTATTCAGAAGACTAAATAGATGGCTAATGAGTAGATACGGTTATCATAAGATGATTAAATTTAATCTTTACTTACTAGTTTTTCATGAATGGTCCACAAACTTCATTTTTGTACTGGTGTTTTCAGTCGCCAACGCGTTTACTAGAAAGCCCAGCTAAGGAACACTCGTCGTCTCGCGTTAGCACATCCACTCCTCACAACAGTCGTAGTGATACTGACGTGCTCTGCTCTGATACTTCTTCATTTTGCCAGTTAACCTAACAACTACTAAACTTTTCCTTCATTAATTCCTGTGAATTTCGGTTCATTCATTTCTTACGTATTCAAATAAATTGCTTCTTTTCTCACACAGACGGGATGGCTTCTCAAGCGTGTCTGATGTCATCGGCGCCGACTTGAAGGAGAAGGAACAACGTCATGTGCTCCAATAATAAAAAAATTACATCTTTACCTGCCGTCGTAATTTCTGCAATAATTGAGTGGAACAACCCTGTCTGAGCCTCGGCAATTAGGGACGTTCAACAGAACTGTTCCACTGTCGCTTCTTAACACTTCCGCTGTCAAAGTTATGGAAAGATTGTGTTCCAAAGGCCGGATGTGAATCAAGTCACAAAAAATTCAAGAATCTGCAACAGGCCATGGGTCTATTTCTTCAGTGCCGACAGTTCTATTCTATTCACTTTTATTCTATAATGCCAGGAACGCTAACGGGGGCGTGTATGTTTTTGGACTGGAAGCGCTAGGATGTTACCAACCTTTTAGTGTACCAACAACGTAATTTAGTTGTTATAATTGAACCACTTTATAGGGGCTCGTCTGTCATTTATCACAGGCTCAAGTTGTGCTTGGTCTCTAAAATAACACATCAAAGCAGCGCTGTGAGTTCATCGCTTAGTTATAGGTCCAATAAATGACAATTTATTGACTTAGTTTTAACTTATTAACCCAATGCATTTATTACATGACTTTACATCATATTGAACAGCGATTAGATTTATCGAGATAATTGATTTATATCAATTATTGATTAGATTTTTGGAACCGCGTGTTAGCAAACGTCGTCCATAGCAAAAGGCCAAAGTGATTTCTAGTTCTATATTTCATATAGAAATGATTACTTCATCTTATATTTCACTGAAGATTTTTCTTATCCAGCACTCATTATGCCTTATCGTGTCAGCTAGATCTGTTACGCTAGAGAAGTGTTATTTAGGTTTCTCTATCAGCCAGAAAATGTCAGATAATAAAGGTTACCTAATTAAAGTCAAAAGTTACTTTAGTGGCCAAATGTTCACGAGCGCTTCAGCTATTTAGCTGTCTCGCAGCGGAAGTCAAGATGAACATCACCAAAGATGTGGAAGGTCTCAGTTATAGAAAGATTCTCAAATCAAAAATTGTTCGTCACCCACAAGCGGCAGAAGGTCTCAATTGTCGAGCCCGCTGAAGCTGGCTCATAGTTGGCATCTCAAAGAGAGGAAGTGACAAGGAGGGACAGGTGACAAAAACTGACAAGCAACAGAAACTAAGACACTCGTACAAGAAGTCGCTTACACGAGACGTCGGTCGACCGCACGAGAGAGACAGTAAAGGGGAATGTAAGGGATCCCACCTACATAATAACTTAATGTAAATAATCCTACCTACATAATAACTTAATGTAAATAATCCTACCTACATAATAACTTAACCCCACAACTGAAACCTGCAGTCAGACACCGCGAGCTCAGCGGTGGGGCGTTCTCAGGAACAATCACTCTAGGTGAGCAAAATCCCATAGGACTTCAGACGAGCACGGGCACACGTCAGTAGTCCCTCTTGAGGGGTTAAAAGATACACGTTTAATTTTTCATTACTATTGTGATGTACAAACATTAGTGTAAAACTGTACAATAGAAGGCACGATGGTAGTAAAGACATGAGATGAAAACTATGGAATTCAACTCTCTGCACGTGGTGACAATTCACAAGGTGGACTAGAGAAATTATTTTACAGAGAAGTCAAACTAGTAAGCGAGTGTTTTAATCCTTTTACCATTTCATGACGAAAGTCCTGTCAAGAAAGAATTCCATTACATTTGAACGTGGACGTGAGAAAATTATGACACGGGTGCAGTCTAACCATTAAACTTTTTGAAGCAATCAAGGAAAATTACAAATTGGCCGCAACGTGAAATACCATATTACGATCTATTTAAAAAAATTCATCCTGTACTATAATAAAAGCTACATTTTATTTACAGCAAAACATGAACGTTTCAACGACAAAGGGAATAAATTCCCAGTTTACATTCGTTCCACTTGCGATTAAGTAACGTCGCGTCATCTCTCGCAAACAGGCTTAATGTTAATATACTATCAATTACTGCAGCAAGTTTAGAGAGCAGTCAAGATTGAAAATACAAACTCTATTAGCAGAGCGAGTTCGCTCATACTTAATAATAAGTTTCCCATTTAACATTAGGCAGAAAAATCCTTAGTCTTCCAGTAACATAGACTATAGCATCCAACGCATGTCTAGCACAAGAGCAAGGGGAAAATGAATTCAAAAATTACTCAGGCAACAACAAAGTATTATGAATATGGTTTGATGGCTCAAGCATAAGTAACAAGGCAGAGGCTCGACCATCAAAAATTATTCATCAGCAATCCGGGCGGAAGGTCTCAGCTTGCCTTTATCGAAAAATATATTGCTTACAAGAGACGCCTCCACATAGCAGTTGAAGAAAGAGAGATAGTCCTGTCTACATAGTAACTCAAAATTGAACACCTCAGTTGTTCGAGCAGCGTGAAAAATAACTACAGGCAATTATTTACTCAACTGACGCAATCATTTACTTTATTTACCGAAGATTTACTTAACTAAGATCTTCAGCCGCGGTTTGCTTGAGCAGTCTATCAGGCCGGTGTAAATATAGGTACTCTCGCCCAAAGAAAAAAAAAACTCTTTAAAAGAAATATTCCATAAGGTTACTGCTTAGCAACAAAGAATCTGGTCAAACATAATGTAAATTTCCGTGCTGTGGATAAACAATTTGTTGTAATCATGTGGTCCTTATATTAAAGCGTTAACAAGCATTATATCCCAAATATAATATATTTTAAAGATATGTTTTTCCCCAGCTCGTTGATTTACGGGCTAAGCTTATAGTGGGCTTCGAACACAATCCTTGGAAACACAAAGGACAAAATTACTGAACATTTTCATGGCATTAACATCGAAAGATGTCCCCTCTCGAATGTATGCTCACGGGCCTCAACATAAAAACAAAATTAGGAAATCAAATTTCTTACATTAGATGAATCAGGGATTAGAAAAATTTCAACACTCAGCTCCCCTATGTTCAAAATACGAGAATTGTACAGAAAAATAAAAAAGTAATAGGAAATTTTGCGGGCATAAGTGGGGTGATAATTAAAAAAAGCGAGAAAAAAAAATCCCAGGTATGGAGGAAGAAGATAATCGTTCTACTGACTAACCTGGACAGATAAAATCTTAATGAAAAGGAAGTGTTAATGGATAAAGAAACAGAAAAACAGTTTTTTCCCAGATACAAGTTCTGATCAGATGAAAATTCTTCCGTTGGAGAATGATTTAAATTGCGTTCAAATATTTATTCTTCAGAAGCCACGGGTATAAGAACTTTTTAACATCTCCAACATCTTTGATGCAATTACATGAAAAAAAAAAAACTTGGGGAAACCGTTACTCTGAAGAGTTGGCTTGTGGCCAGTGATAAGGACCGCGATTATACCGAATCAGGAGTGCAAGAAGACTTTTCTTCTAACAACTGTCTTATTTATCTTATACCTGTCGTCTTTTAACAACTGACTAGTAACAGGGACGAGTTAGACACAAGTTTTGCGGGTGTAAATGAAAAATACGAACATAAAGGCTTTCCTGTAGACCTCGGAGTCTTTGAAGAGCTGGCCCCTGACAGGGACAAATACGGCACAAATATCGCGCGATTAAATATTCACGCGACCAAGAAGGATTTCTTAAGGAAATACGTATACGTCTTTGGAGAGCTGGCCACTGACAGGGGCAAATAAGGCACAAATATCGCGCGAATAAGGATTCACGCGACCAAGAAGGATTTCTTAAGGAAGTCTGCGTCTTTGAAGAGCTGGCCACTGACCGGGGCAAATAAGGCACAAATATCGCGCGAATAAGAATTCAGGCGACCAAGAAGGATTTCTTAAGGAAGTCTGCGTCTTTGAAGAGCTGGCCACTGACAGGGACGACTTTGTTCCTGCGCTGCGCGTCAGTGTAGAGCGACATCCATGCCTCGTCCCTGGCGGCGAGGTAGCTAATGGAGCCCACGATCACGAGGCTTAGACGAGCGCGCGTCAGCGCCACGTTCAGCCGCTGCTGCTGGCTCAAGAATCCGATGCTTGAGCTTGCGTTGCCACCGCGCACGCACGACAGAAGGATCAAGTCTTTCTCTTGGCCCTGAAATAGTAAATAGTTTTTAACCCTACAGTAGTCGCATGCAAAAAATGACCAGATTGGTCGACTTAATAGTGGGTTTCGTTTTGGTGATTTTTTTAGGCATGCATTAAATATGTAATCCACGCCACCACTGTACGGTTAAAGAAGCCCAAAATTATTTTTATTGCGGAAGCAGCGTGCTCATATATCTATTAAGCAACGTTAACAGCAAATCGGAGCGTGATTTAACATTAAATTCTCCTTTCTAACCAGCTAACATGGGGTGAAACGGTTCGCGACCGTCATATGATTCCTCATAAAATGACGAACTGGGAAAGTCATCTACAATACAAATATGTTCAAATTTCAAATGACGCATGGAATAATTGAAACGGTATGGGCTATGAGTAACAAAAAAAAATCCATGGTTCGGAGTGAAAAATGAAGAAGTCAGGTAAATTCAATGGATAATCAAGGCAGCTTCAAAGTATATTTGACTACTGTTGACCTGCACAAATAGCAGTGAATAAACTGTCAACAAGTCTTTGACAACGCTCACCAGTAATTATTTACGGTCCTCAACCAAGGTCTTACCTGAAAGCCATCGATGGTGTTGACGACGATGTTAAGTTTAGAAGAGAAGAAGCTCAGGCTGCGCTCCAAGCAGTGCTTTTGACTTTGGTAAGGAGTGATCACACCGATCTGAAACCCCACGCTTAATATTGAGATACGATTCATATGGATACACGTTAAATATTGACACATCATTCATATTGAGATATGATGCATTTGTAAATACACTTTTATCGAGACATAATTCGCAGTGTTACGTGTTTAATATTGATCCATGCTTCACATAGAACGACGATTCATATTGACATCCGCGGAAAACACGCAACACAAACGTGCAACAAAGTAACCTACTCAATGTAACCAAATTTAAAACGGAGAGGATTTTATCAATAATAGTAAATTTATAATTAAATATTATACGTTTGTCAATAATATTAAATAACGCGCATCAATATTTGTCATAAAAAAGTTCCAGGAGCAGCGCAAAAATTTGAGGCCTAGAAAAAACTCTTTTTGGCTAATTTTTCGATCCCGAAGATTGGAATGATGATCGTATATTGTTTGGAGAAATTATAATAAAAATTTTGGTTTATCTTCATTCTTGAAAATAAATTGCACAAAAAATGAAACCTTCCTATAACAGAGATTCGGCAAACTCAAAGCCAGCCAAAGAAAAACTTTATACAGGGAAGTATTCACTCGCTGAGCCACCATTGGTAAATTGTTATAGTTAGCAATCATATCTCTTTTGCGTATCGAGTTGTGAAATAAAACACTATCTTAAGCGTGTGTATTTTTTTTCGAGTGGAGTACCTTTTTATCCTTAAGCAGCTGCAGGACGGACTGCAATAAAGTAGAGATAAGCTCCGCTTCTCCTGAGTTGCGTAAATCTCCAGGCATTTGTCCAGTCTCTTCATGGCCGTCCTGAATTGCAAGAAATTAAATACTTAGTGAAACAAGATTCTGAAATAAGCAAATTGAGCAAAGAAAAGGCAGAGAATTTTAAGAATTAAATCATACTAGCATTTCGCAATCGTATTATTACAGACAATATATTATTCTATAAAAATTCCATGAAACGTAATGAAACTTTGGAAGAAGCAGTTGTTCAACGGCCAATTACACAAGGAAATACGTCAAAGTATTGTCGTGATGATGAAAAATTAAATCATTTTTAACATAAGCCTAAAGTTCCGTAAATGATTGTTAAAACATACAAAATATAAATATTTCTCCCCATCGTCAAAACTATAAATTTTTTTTTTTTAAATAAGGCCTCCCACACTCACCATTCCAACAAAAAGGAATTAATTTTATTAATTAAAAACAGGGAATGGTTTCATGTCAAGCAAAAGAATAACGAGTACACTAGCAGTAGAAAGACGTGCCAATAATAAAATTGCTGCGTCAGCATGAACGAGAAGAGAGAATGGGGGCAACGTCCGTGCAAGGCTACAGAGCACACAACAAGCACTTAGAGAGCTCTTAGACACCACACAACCTTCCCACGTGGATGCTCAGTTAACACTCAACTATAAATAGTTGAGTGTTACTAACAAGTGTTGAACTAACTATATAAACTATAAATAATTTTGAAATAACAATGCTGCGTTAGTATAGAAACCCGAAGGCATGATTATAAAGTGCCTAAACTGACGAAGGTAAGTCGGTGTCATTAGGTAAGATCATAGTGTCTAAACTCATGAAGGTAAGTCGGTGTCATTTGTTAAGATCATAGTGTCTGAACTCTTGAAGGTAAGTCGGCGTCATTAGGTAAGATCATAGTGTCTAAACTCTTGAAGGTAAGTCGGCGTCATTAGGTAAGATCATAGTGTCTAAACTCTTGAAGGTAAGTCGGTGTCATTAGGTAAGATCATTGGGTCTAAACTCATGAAGGTGAGTCGGTGTCATTAGGTAAGATCATTGGGTCTAAACTCATGAAGGTAAGTCGGTGTCATTTGTTAAGATCACAGTGTCTAAACTCATGAAGGTAAGTCGGCATCATTAGGTAAGATCATTGGGTCTAAACTCATGAAGGTGAGTCGGTGTCATTAGGTAAGATCATTGGGTCTAAACTCATGAAGGTAAGTCGGTGACATTAGGTAAGATCATTGTGTCTAAACTCATGAAGGTAAGTCGGTGACATTAGGTAAGATCACAGTGTTTAAACTCATGAAGGCAAGTGGGGTCATTAGGTAAGATCACAGTGTCTAAACTCATGAAGGTAAGTCGGTGTCATTAGGTAAGATCATAGTGTCTAAACTCATGAAGGTAAGTCGGTGTCATTAGGTAAGATCATAGTTTCTATACTGACGAGGATGTCGAAGACGACGTAAGGCGAGAAGTCAGAGCGGTTGGTGGTCTCCAGAGTGGGTTCAGATTTCAGCTCCCCCTTGTAGAAGTAATGGCTCGGGAACGTGGCTATGGTCGGGTGCATGCGGTACTGGATCGTCAGACTGTAAATAAAAAAATCACAATTGATTAATTCTTGTAAATAGTAAAGAATGGAAACTCAAGTCTGGAAAAAATTACTTTTTACGGCTGTGAGCTGCAGCACTAGGCCTCAAAACCGTACGAGAAAGGAAATGGTTAACCTACATCTGAAATAGTGAACCTATATTTCAAAAAAGGACGGGAATGAGAAACGTACCTACTATATACAGTGCAGTAATACACGCTAAACCGTCAATAATGTAAGGAAAGAGAAGTACAAATATACAGCACAAACAAAATTACTGAAAAGTGCAAAGTGACCCAAGACCTTGAATAATTTAAAATTGTATAATATGGAACACTTTAAGACCAACCTGTGCACTAGATGCGGTTTGTTCTCCTCGGTAGCGATGTGGTGGTATATTCTTTCAAACAGCGACTGCTTCATGTTCTTGTCTTGAGCTAGCTGGGAGAGCACCGTGGGCGGGAGCTGAAGATGATCTCCAGCTAGAACTAACTTGCGCACCCCCGTAAGCAGCGGCAGCCATGTCCATGACTCCGTGCACTGACCAGCCTCATCAATGATGCACACTGACACTTCGTTGGCTAGAATTTTGGAGACCGTATCGTTACAGCAGCTACCCAGGGTGCTCGTAATGACGTCGGCTGCAAGCAAAACTTCTCGCTGCACAGCATTTCTTTGCTCGGCGAGTTGAGACGGCGTTAAATGTTGGCGACAGTCTTTTTCGAACTGGGCTCTTCGCTTTACCAGCTCAACGACTCGGTCCTGACATTTCTGCTTCTTCGCGGGGTCTGTTTCCTCCATCATTTCGGACCTGGCTATTGACAACGTACGAGTCATGCGTAGGAGTTCAGCTCTTGATTTCTCGTCAGGAGTAGAAAGAACTTTTTGTAGGCGTTTTTCTACTAAAGACTCGAATGAAAGTCTTTGAACGACATTGTCGTCGCACTGACGCCCAGGGAAGCCATTACGAACAACATTTAGATGTATGCCTAAATGGGAGAGGAAGACAAGACGTCGAGTGAGTTCGTCGACTGCAGCGTTGGACGGAGCGCACAGCAGGATGCGACTTCGAAGGCTGCTATCCTTCGCAGATCGGTGTAGTTGGGCTACAAGAGCCACGAGCGTACGTGTCTTGCCGGTACCAGGAGGACCGTGGATAAGGGATATTCGTGGAGCACCATCACTGAGAACGCACGAAGACACTAACGAAACAGCTTGAAGCTGAGAGAAATTTAAAGGCATCTCAGGAACCAAGTAATCCCGTTTAATTGGCGGAGGCATGACGCACTGTATTCCAGGTTTCAAGACATACTGACCGAGAGGACTGTTAGGCAGCCCCGTGAGTCCATCCCAAATTCGGATGGAAGGCTTCAAATACGAAACATTGCAGACATTTATTACCGAGTCTTGAACTATCTTGGTAGCTAATCCTTTGGAGGCAAGCACAGTCAAAACTAAAGTTGCTGTGGCATCCGGCACAGCATCTCTAAGGGCTTTACTGAAATTTGTTCTTGAGTGCCGCATGTGTTCAGAGACGTACGCAAATAGAATTGTACTACGGTTCTCTATAGGCACCCTGATTGCAACGAGGGAACCAGTGCGTGGATGCAGGCCCTGCCGTTCTTGTACATGATTGATGGGTGTCACAAGCTTAATAAGAGTGAAGTTGTAACCTTCACATCGGGCGTTTTGTTTACGTATAGCCGGTGCAGGGTTGTAGTTCAACCTGATCACGTCAACTTCGCACTTGAACCAAACCACGGTCTGATGAAACTTCAACCAGTCCCTGTAAATATGCTCCCAAACTTCGTAGAAGAGCAACACGCTGAAAACCTCATGGTAATCTTTGAAGGAGTCGTACAGGATGAGGGTGGGGAAAACCAAACCTTTGTTACTCAGCAGAGGAGGAGGTTTTGCGTTCGTGCCTTTTTGTCGATTGCTGTCATACTGTTTTAACCAGTCATAATTCCATGAGCAGACTTTGTGCACAAAATAGTAGGTGTTAAGGTAGAATCGGTCAACATTTGTGGACATGGCGTTTGGGAAAGAATTAGAGTTTGGTATAGCTTCCGGATTTTGGTAAAGTTCTCTGTGCTTGACGCAGTTGGGACCAAGTTTTTCTTTATCTAGTCGCGGTGCGATTATTCTTACCCGTTCTAGGCACTCCTTCTTAACGGGAAATGAGATATGACCTCGATTGGATTTAGTATAGGGCTTTTTCAGAATGCCACCAGACGGAAGAGGCAAAAAATTACTGCTGACCGATGATTTCATCGATTCTAAATCAACGGCTTCTTCACTCCTCCCTTCCTCTCTATTGCAATCTTCATTCGCTGGAGCAACGGAACTGTCTTGCATTGATTTTGGTACAATTGTATTTTCTCCAGAATCTTTAGAATTTAAAATTTCGATTTGGCTTTCCTCTACAGTGACCGACTTTAATTTCTCCATCAAGTCGATCACACCATCTGAAGTGGAACATGCAACGTTATTTTCACCAGCCATATCAGCATTTTCGTTAGTTTGCCCAACGTCTCTGAAAACATTTGACTTCTTGGGTTTTGCTCTACTTTTCGTCTTCTGCTCGGGAGCGATCTCAGGAGACGGAAACAAATTAACTTCTGTTAATTTCTGACTCCTGTTCTTGCGAGTAAATTTAGCAGCAACTGTAGGAGGCTTGACAGCAACAGAGCTCTTCTTCACGACAGAGATGTTTTCATCAGCACGGAAAACGTTGAAATCGTAACGATGATCTTTGCTACAATGAGCGACAGACGAATTGCTAACATTAGCAGTATTAATGCTTTGTGCAGTTCGATTGTTCTCTATTTGTTCTGATTTTTTGACACTACTCGTGGCCCTGTGCTTCACACCAGTGCTCATTGACATGCCGGCAGTGTACGCTTTGACTTTATAATTCTTTGCAAACTTGTCTCGAAGACCTTCAGACGAGTTCCGTCTCTTTCTCGGACTAGAGAATTTAGATTTCTTTGGAGCACTTCTAGGAATTTTATCGCGTTCCATGACCTTATGGGCTGGTCTAGTAGCATTGTTATGTTTTGAGGATTTTAGTGGAATAATGGGACTAGTGAGCTTCATACTACGTTCCGTACCAGACTTGGCTCGAGCTTTCTCGACAATTTGCAACAACCCATCCTGGTCGACGGCCTGGACCAGGATGGACCTGGATGAGCCTGGAGCGTCTCGAGGTATATTGGCTTTGAAATGTTTAGATTTGGGTACAACATGAACAAGCGATTGTTTTAGTTCAGCTTGACTGGATGCAGACGAAGGTTTCTGCGATATCTTGTCACTTACGGGCTCCGATTGGGGGTCGGTTTTGGACATGTTATCCTTCTTAGTACCTGATTCAGGACACTCGGCTTCCTGAATTAAATTCAGATTATCCTCTACAGAACAAGAGTCGGCCTCTGTAAGTTGAACGTCGGCCCCACTAGAAATTTCAACAGATAGCGGTTCATTACTTCCCTTTTCTTCGATATTGGTGCTCAATGGAACTGAAACTGGACCGTTCAATCCATCTTTGCAACCATAAAGGTGAAACTGTTCCGCATCAGGGCCACCAACGTCATCGGCTACATTTTCATTGCCGGCTTCGACGTGTTGCGAGTATTTGTTGAACAAATCGTCCTCATTTGGTTCAGGACTATCGGGAATGGGTCCAAAAGATTCATCAACAGCCAAGGACGAGCAGTCCTGCGAGCAAATCATTTCCTCCTCATCGCTTGAAAGTAGAATGCAGTCTTCCATTTGTGAGTAGATCATCTGAATATCCTCATCATCGTCGTCATTCTCTCCTTCGTACCCGAAATTATTATTTCCATCTTCTTTTTCTTGTTTTATTTGAAAACCAGTTTTCATAATTGAAGAAGGTTCGTCGCAAGGATCTTTCTTGATGTTTAAAATAACGGAATCAATTTCTTCTGTTGGTTCATCAGTTGTGGGGGACGTGATGGCACTAATATTCTCAATTATATTGGATTTTGTTCCACCCATTGAGTCTGGTTTCCTGACGTGCGTGAATTGGTCAAGTTCGCTAGTATCCACTTGAGAGGAAGAAGTGTTGTAAGCAATAGGTTCAATGAAGCTTTTAGGGGCCTGAAGGTGAGGAAGGACAGGCGTGCTGGTACAAGCCGCTGATGGCAAATCAATATCTGGGAGATCGTCGTCATCTTCACTAGAAAAATCATCCAAATCAAAAGGAATTCCTTTCGAATTACTGCTGAGGCTCATGACTCCAGGCCTTTTGAGACCGGATACGCTTTGGGGAGGAGACGAATTGGGGCTATTAGAAACAGATTCGCGTTCGCGCAATTTTCCGAATTTATGTAGCTTTCCACGGCTTCCCAAGCCTTCCCTTTCATTCCGGTTAACAACCGCCGCAATTTTCAAATCAAGCGCATTAGGTTTCGAACGTGGACATGTTTGCTTTGAATTAGTAAACTTCTGTAAGCTCAGCTTTCCATTTTGAGAAGAACTCTTTTCAGCTAACGGTTTCACTGATTCAACATCACATTTGGTGAGAGGATCTGAATTTTCGGAAGCAGAGCGCTGTTCGTGACATTTTTTGTCATTTGAAGGACTGGGAATTTCAAGGTTAACATCACTGTTAACAATTATCCGTCTAGAATTAGTCGCCGAAGAGTTGTTGGTTTTTCTCACTACCGGAGAGCATTTTCCTTTGTCAGAACAGAAGTCTTCAATATCGATTTTTTCAATTCTAATAGACAATGGGATAGTTTTCGGCAGAGATTTGGGAGGAGATGAAATTACGAGACGCCGCGGTACTGAGCTCTTCAAAATTTCTTCATCACTTTCATCACTGGACTCAGGACAGTTCTCCTCAGCACTCCTGGGCTGCGTGGTCAAAGGCTGGGTCTTTATTTCAGAGTCTTTAACATTATTGTTTAATATTTCCTTCCTAGAGTCAAGCTTTGATTTGTCGTTTCTTTCTAACGATCCGTCAATAGAAACCGGTTCCGCTACCTTACCCGCATTTAATATCACAGTGGATTGATCATTTGAGAAGTCTGAGGTGGGATTGGCAATAGAGTTTTCCATTTCTTCTTCATCATTCACTTTGGAATCGCTTACAATTTTAGGAGAGGTGTCGTCGTCACTGTCACTGCTCTCATGATGATTGCTATTTACAAGACTCGGTAGTTTTTCTAACCTAACAGAACAAGTGTGTTCTTTGAGGATGAACTCCTTGTTAAACATTGTTGCCAAACCAATTACAGACAAGCGTTGATCATTTTCTCCCATTCTTGATGTACGTTTGAAACCCAAATCCTCCGCCCTTTCAACATGCGACGATGATGCGATTGGACTCTGTAATAACGATGGTGAGGAAGACGATGAGGTGCTTGGAGAGGACAAATTTGGATTGGATAGCAAAGAAGGACAAATAGACTTCACAGTTGACGAATTTTTGTGACTGATATCCAAAGATTTGGATGAAGGTTCAGAATTTGAACCAGTCTCAGGGGAAATTATTCTCGGACCTGGAGAGCAAGGCGATGTAACTGAAAGGCGTGAAGCATTGGTTACTAAAAATTCTTCTTCAGTGACACTTTGCAAGTTCTCACACTCTTTTTCACTTTCAGCAGATACAGATAATGGTGAATTTTTTTTTTTAGTTTTATAAACAGGTTGATGATTTGCCTTGGCTATTTCAGAAGAGTCTGACACAACTTGTACTTCCAAAGTATTGGACATATTTTGGGCATTTGCTTGAGAAGACTCACATAATCTGAAATTTGTCTGTGCCACAATATTCCCCATCTTTGAATTAAGTTCAGCTTCAACCTTTAGCCTCCTCAATCGATCAATTTGTTCATCCTTTTCTGCCAGCTTTGAAAGGAGTGCTTCTTTTTCTTCTTCCAGGCGTCGAATGCGTATCTTGTCCTCCTCATTTTCTGCTGAGCTCAACTCAGATCCACACTGATCAGGCTGCTCTTTTGCAACAGATGCATTTTCAAGTCTATCCAGTCTGGGACTTGAACTCTTAATGCTGGAACATTTGGTTACTGGAACATCAACAAAAGATTTCCCTCCCAAAGTCAAGGTTGGCCTTTTAGATGCATTGCTAGAAATTTTGCTCATATAGTTTTGCTTGAAGTCAGCAACAAAATTCAAAATTTCAGCTTCTTTTTCCAGAGACATGGTTTTTCGAGGAGGGAAAGTATGCTCTCCACCCACTTCCAGTCTAGGTCTTTTACAAATGTACTTTGACTCTTCAGTAACAGACTTGCGTTTGTTGGAGTTGATAATATCTCCATCTAGTGATTTATGACCTCCTAGATAAGATGGCTGCTTTAGCTGAACAGAGGGCTGTTTAGGGTCTTCCTCATCATCACTAATAACTATAACAGGATTGTCAGCTGATGTATGATTTCCAAAGCTTTTGAGCTGGGCATCAAATTCAGTTATTTGAATGCTCATCTCTGTATTGGAGATGTTACTGCTTGAAGGTTTTGGTTCTCTTAAATGAGTTGAAATCTCCAATTCAGCTTTAGTATTACAAAGATTGCCTGAAATAAGTCCTTGTCTGGCTTCAACCGTATTCTTGTTTTTAAAGTCAGTATTTGCTGCAACATCTGATTGTAGCCCTTTATTTTCCTTTTCAGTGGAAGATCCATTATCTATAAGCTCAGCTGATATGACTTTTTTGGGAGGATAATTGGAGGAAGAATTTCTATCTCCACAGTCACCGAAAGTAGCAGAAGTTGACAACTCTAGGTAGATATATTTCGGATTTACTTGATTAGAAAATTCAAAAGGAACTCCAAGTCCAAGACGCGACCCACAGCTAAATGGAGCAGTGCCATTGGGACCAAGTATTGTACTTGTATCAACATAAGTGCGGTTGTTTTGCTGCAATAAACAAAAGAAAATAAATCACCTATTTTGATGAATTTTTTCCATGCTTCCAATTTGTTATTTTCAGAGTTAATATACAAACTTCTTGAATATAATCATATCTACATTTTCAACATAAATCATGAAATGCAGAGGATTTGAAATTTGTGGCAGCCAAGTCAGCATTGTCTTCAGTCCTCAATTTAAAATGTCTGATCTTTTAACCTAAATGCAATTCTTATCTTATTCCAAATCAGCTTGCCTAACAAAAAATGTGTAGGTACTCAGTTTCATCAGACAAACAATGATTTTACCATGTTGTAAAAATTTATCTACTATTCATGTTTAATATGTCAGCACTAACTGAACTAAATCTTGTAGTAGTCAAATTGGCATTTTAAAGGGAGTCTAAAGTGGCATTTGCATCAAAGCCTTCTGTATCAACCCTATATTAAAAAACTTTTGTTAGACCAACACATATCTTACAGCAATGGCGTGAACAGTGAAGTTATTACAGCTGGATATGTCCCGCACAAGTTTGCAGTGAAATCGTGACACATGTACACTCTGAAACTGGATGTCACAGTCCTTGTGACGTCCAAGATAGAACTGAAAAATAGAATCATTTATTAGAAATACAATAGTTGGAATGATCAACTTCAACATTGAAAGTTACAAATTCAAGCTATTTGTTAGCTTATTTGTCAACATGTATTTAATTCGGATGTTTTTCAATTGGAAGTTCCCCTCAGGAAAACTAGTTGTTATAGATAGAGGAAATTTCTTACGCTTAGCCACAAGGTAAAAATGAGCTCAAAGCTAGTGATTAGTGTTAACTAATCAAACTTTAGAGATCAAAATTATTATATTCATGCTTTGACTTAAGCAAAATAGACATGAACAGGACAACTTGATGTGAACAGATTATGATAGCCAAGATTATAGATAGATTAATCATGTGACTACCGTAATCAATTTGAGACTTTTCCACACCAGTTAAAAAATTTGTAGTGTATTGAGAGAGCAACTTTTGCTGTACCACAGGACATAAACAATGACAAAACTGAGGAGTGATAGAACAAAGTTGCAAGTAGATTTATGTTTTGAAACAAAATTTCTTCAATTATAATTTTTAACTACAATAATAATCAAAATAATTGAATGACGCGATCTTTATTCTTGGAGAGTGACAAGTTATGAATATTTTCCAAAGAGACTGTTTTCTTTATTTATTCATTTTTATTTGCATATTATTACAAATTAGCAGCTGGATTTTGCAATATTATTATCAATAAATGGATGCTAATATGGATATTAGCAACAAGATATTGAATAAAATTTTGAATTAGAGCAGGGAATTGAAACTGGGAACAGGGAACTGGTTTCTTAAAAAGCTCCACTTGCCATTATGGCTCCAACAACCATTGTAATGAGTTGTCTTTATTAGCTCTAGTTCAACATTTTATACAATATCTATATATCTATGCCTGGAAGTTGTGTGCATGCTGAGTTTTTTTTATGTATGCAAGAACACCAGTGAATAAAGTTGCTTTGATTTTCACTCTACGCCAATAATGCCAATAAATAAATGAACCACAATTTGAGTATAACAGTGAGTCTTTTGTGTACACATCAATGATGTAATTGGCCACCAGCACAATATTATAATGAATACAAACATTGCTTTTCCAGTTTAAATTGGTTTATAATGGTTTTGTGAAATAAGGTAAATGTCTCTTTTCAAGTTTATACCAGTTTTGAAACAGATGATGGTTGGAGCAGGCATTGAGGTTTTTTAATAGCAGCAGTGCCTATGCTGTACCCAGCTGGATGCTGGGCCAGAACAAACACCAAGTACATAATTGATATAGCTCATTGTTTGCCAAGGTTTACGTCAGTGCTAAGGCTTTGAGCCACACATTTGCTGGATACTGTCAACATACTGGGTTTTGGTTATAATTATAATCTATTGAGTTTGATTGCCACATAATAACTAGAAAGATTTCTTAATTAGGGATGAAAACTATGGCTCAGTTTTGTTAACAGAATTGATCATTTCTGATACAGTCAGGTGACTTTGTATGCTTAAATATTTATAAAAGTGCTTTGGCACAATTAATAGCATTGCCTCAATGACTGTAGCTGTGTTTCACAAGTGTTGTCATATGTGAAAACCTCATGGCGCCATAGTAACAAATTTTCAACACATTTAGATCCAAATACGTATGAACTTTTGTCAACAATTATATAGGTGATTCATCTATCAGGAATCTCATGGCTCTTAAAATGGCAGGAAAGCTCTAGTCATGACTCTAAAGGTAGATTTAGGTGCCCAAGTAACCAAATGCCAGTCCAAGGCCACTTTTTTCTCATCTGATCTTCAACCAAATTTTTTAATTTGACAAGTTAATAAACTTATTTTAAACCTTTCCCTTTCTAAAAGGAATACCGTAATGGAGATAAATAGGTATTTTATTATAGCTATAAAGCAAAGACTCATTTAGCAACTTCACATTAAATCCTAATTATTAAATAGATACTCAAAGACTTACCTCCTTTTTTATTGGATCAAGTTCAAATTTTTCTTCAGTGCCTAGTCTTAGTAGATACATTTTTTGGCATTTTTCCTGAAAAAGAAGATGACATTATTACAAAAAGCACCATAGGTCATAGTGTCAAAGTAGAGACTTTTTTAGACACTTTCTCAAGTTTATTTTCAAGTCCTATGCATGGTGCCATCCTAGATGCACTCTTAATTACCATCTCCTGAAGGAGTTTCTGAGCGCGTCAGCACCTAAATTAGAGTGCGCTGTGCAACATCATGGCTCAGCTGACAGCTGAGCCAGTGTGAGTGATGATGTCTAATGGTGGTGGTGGACAGCCCACCATCAGACATAATCACTTGCACCTGCTGCCATGGCGTATAGTGGTTATACCACTGTTTAATGACAAATTGAAAATTAAAATAACACATTTATACCATTATGGCAAAATAAAGACTGTTTCATGTGAAAAAAGTAAAGAACAATTCATTTTAACTGAAATTCATTAACTGCAAAGTTGCACTCCAGTTGGTACTAAAGCTAACAGGAGGAGACTGGAACATCATAATCATTCCTACCAATTTTACTTACAATTAATGGAGGAAATGCTCAGTCACTTAACACTTTTTTCTCATCTGATCTTCAACCAAATTTTTTAATTTGACAAGTTAGTAAACTTATTTTAAACCTTTCCCTTTCTAAAAGGAATACCGTAATGGAGATAAATAGGTATTTTATTATAGCTATAAAGCAAAGACTCATTTAGCAACTTCACATTAAATCCTAATTATTAAATAGATACTCAAAGACTTACCTCCTTTTTTATTGGATCAAGTTCAAATTTTTCTTCAGTGCCTAGTCTTAGTAGATACATTTTTTGGCATTTTTCCTGAAAAAGAAGATGACATTATTACAAAAAGCACCATAGGTCATAGTGTCAAAGCAGAGACTTTTTTAGACACTTTCTCAAGTTTATTTTCAAGTCCTATGCATGGTGCCATCCTAGATGCACTCTTAATTACCATCTCCTGAAGGAGTTTCTGAGTGCGCCAGCACCTAAATTAGAGTGCGCTGTGCAACATCATGGCTCAGCTGACAGCTGAGCCAGTGTGAGTGATGATGTCTGATGGTGGCGGTGGACAGCCCACCATCAGACATAATCACTTGCACCTGCTGCCATGGCGTATAGTGGTTATACCACTGTTTAATGACAAATTGAAAATTTAAATAACACATTTATACCATTATGGCAAAATAAAGACTGTTTCATGTGAAAAAAGTAAAGAACAATTCATTTTAACAGAAATTCATTAACTGCAAAGTTGCACTCCAGTTGGTACTAAAGCTAACAGGAGGAGACTGGAACATCATAATAATCATTCCTACCAATTTTACTTACAATTAATGGAGGAAATGCTCAGTCACTTACATCACTTTAAAATTTTAATGTGGTTCTTTACACTGCACTTTAAGGCAAGGATCCAAATCTAAATGGAAAAATAAGCAACACACTTTCCATTCCAACACAACACATCACCCAATGGAGAGTAGCATGAAGCTTGCGCTACACCACTCATTTTTGTTTACATTACAGATCATCAAACTTGTTTTGAATGTCTACCAGAAGTTTCTCCAATGGACACAAGACTAGACACAGACTTTGCTGGTTACTGTTGTTGGAGGGGGAGCTGTATTGCTTTTAGCCCAACCCTTTGGCTTTCATGCTTGTTTATCTAATGTCTATGCTGCATTTCCTCATAATGTAACTTTCGTGTAATTTTTATTTTTTTCTGTTTTTCGCTCTAGTCCAGACAAAGAAGTAAAATTATTATTGTAAAGGTAAATTAAAAACCAAAGCATAATCCTAATGCAAAAATACCAATGAATTTCTATGATAATTGCACCAGCCTGGAAAGCTAAGCTAACTCACCACTTGAGAGGAAGTGAGCAATTGTTTATTGCACATAATATCCATTTTTATTACCAAATTCATGTTCATATTGCAAATTGTTTATACTTGGTGATTTTGCATTTTTTCTTATTTTCTCTTAATTGTGTTCAGTGTGTCTCAATTCATGAATTCTTCATTAGGCTGTTTGCTGCAATATAAGTTTGCTTGATTACTTTTTCTGCATCCATAATCAGCACAGTTGCTCTAAGAAGTCATCATTAAGGCCAGTAGTCACAGTGCGGCAAAGTCCATGAGCGAGAAATTTGCAACAAGGATGTGGAACCATTGTTCTGTGTTCAGATCGGCAAGTTGCTGCGCTCGAGCATGTTGCCTTTGTAATATGATACCTGAGCCAGCACCCATCTTAGGGCTGCGGCCGTCTCTTAGGTTGCCAAGGCATGGCCTGCAGTCGGCTAGAACTAACTGGCCTTGGCCGACNCTGTCTCTTATACACATCTAGATGTGTATAAGAGACAGCACTTCCTACTCAACACATTGCCTCTTTGACACACTTTGCATCTGTCTCTTATACACATCTAGATGTGTATAAGAGACAGATGCTTGGTGCACAATTCTATACATGACATGCTATGCACAATTTTGTGATGACCGATGATGCACTAATTTTTCGATAAGTGAACTTTTTTCGCTGAGCAAGGAAAATGTGATCAATATTCTTTGTTTTTAATCAATTTTTTTCGTAATTGGAGCCTTTGCTAACTGAGGTTCTACCGCAAATGCGTTTTTGGGGTGTCCCGAGTAGCCCTGCCGTGCGGAAATGGCTGCCATTTCTTTTTGGAATGAGATAGGCAAATTCTGTCAATTACATTTTCAAGCCGACACCTGGGTGCAACTTTTACGTAAGTAAAATTTTTTAATACAGCAAATATTTTTTTTGCTACATACCTTAGAAGTTGTAACTTTACAAAATATACTTTTTCACCAATTTTTTCAGGAATTTTTCTAAGCAAGTAAATGTAGTATTTTTCAACTTCCTTTATACTACATAGATAGGAAAAATGTTGAAATTTATGCCACTATTTTTAGTTTTGCAATATTCCAATTAGTTTTGCTACTACAACAGTTTTACGCCTAGTCGGAGGCCTGTCCCGAGTAGCCCCGCTTGTCCTGAGTAGCCCCGGTTGACGGTACTGCTTTTCTGCTTGTTAACTTAATGCATGTTCATATTTAATCAAATTCTTTATCTTATGGTCTTAGGGCTGTGATGCATAAAATTGACAAGTTTTACTTCATGGCAGATCCCATATGTATCTTGTCCATGCTCCTCAACACCTTAAGTATAAACATCTTTTCCACACTCCTTACAGTTAAGGTACCCTCCAGTCACTTATGCACCACACAAGTGCATTTCATAACCAAGAGCTATTTAATTGAACTGTAACTTAAAATCTGTTTTATTTGTCAGTAAAAAAGATCAATTTCAGTCTCATCATTATCCACTTCACAAGTAGGTTGTTGCCAACCTATCAAGTAGAAGTAGGCAACGTGTTTGCCTCACCCGCAGGAGACACGTGGCAAGAACATAATTTGTTGCCTTGAAATAATTTAGCTCATGAAGCCAACTCAGTCTGCCACAGAGAGAGTGATGTCACATGTCGCAAATAAAGTTCATAATCTATTTGAATATAAGTACATGTACAAGACAGAACCTGATGAAAATGATTTAATTGATAATGTGAATAATGAAGTTTTTTTTAAATGCAATAGGTACCAACATGGTTCAACATAATGCTGATCTCGCACAAACTATTTTTCTAAGTAATAAACATGGAGAATCTTTGATGAAAACAATAAAGTGTACTGTAAAAAGTAAAACAATCACAAATTACCTAAAGGAACTTGGCAGTGATGTCATGAAGCATAATTTGCCTAGGCAACATCTGGTTCTTGATCAGGAGAAAGTGGGCAGCAAAAAAGGAAAGATTGATTCTTGGTTATCAAAATACAGGCTCATCAATATTTAGCATTACAACTTTGAGTGGTTAGAACTATGAAATGAAACACAATTGTGAATGTTTGAAAATGTATTTATGTAGGCAGAGGTTCAGAGATACAATTCCCACAATTTCATTCAATATGTCCACCATCTGCATCAATAACGAGTTGTAGACGCTTAGAGAAAGCCTTACACAAGTCACGAATGACACTCTGTGGGATTTTGGCCCACTCCTTCAGCAGTTTGACCTCTAGGGCGTCCAAACTGCTATGGTGAACGGTCAAGACCTTGCCCTCAAGGTATGACCAGATTCCAAAATCCAGAGGATTCAGATCGGGTGACGATGGGGGCCATTCATCTTTGGTAATGAAGTGGGGAACATTCTCGGACAGCCACTCCTGAGTTGATTTGACCCCATGGGATGGTGCAGAGTCCTGCTGGAACTACCAGGGGCGTTTTTTGGAGTGCTTTCCTGCCCAGGGCAACAATGCACCAACATGGATGGCAGCTCAATAGTTCTTCTGATTAAATTTCACCCCTTTGTCAACAAAAAAGAGGGTCAAATATTTGGAAAAAAGTAAGGTTTCTAGTACGTTGGATGGATCAGGATGCAGTGAAGCTTGTCCAGAAATCAGTTGTGATGATTTCCGGCCAAAATATATTACGCAAATGTAAATAACAAGTTTACGATTGCGCAGTTGCGGTCACATTAGAGCGGTCAGACTGCATTATCACATGTTCAGTTGGCACTTGCTGTACAATCAGACTGTTTTTAGGGTAAAATTAGTTATTTGGGGTAACACGTGCATGCAACCTTGTAAATAAATTTGTGGCTGGTAAATAGTTTTTGATTACTCAGCATAAATGGCTTTTTGTTAAAAATTACCTGGCGACGCATCTTGAAAATGTTGGCAATGCTTTGGGCTTAAAAACCCATTTATTGGTGATGCCGCTTCCACCCTCTGCACCCTGGTTTGTTCTGAGCTGTGTTCAAAAATTAAAATTTTCTTAATTAAAAGCTTAATAGCTCTTAATTAAGAGCTTAATTATAGAAGCAAAATGTTTTAATTAAGCTCATTCCGAGCTGTGTCGTATTCCAATACAGCTCACACAGGGCGTCGGAATTCCAACACAGGGCATCGAATTTACGAATTAGTAAGAGTTCGAAGCGCTGTCAGAATTAGTCTCGAAATATGCCAAATTTAGTCACACACAGCGTCAGAATTCAGGGATTTTGTAGATTTGAATTCTAAAGGCTTTTAAATGAATATGGCAACAGTTGGTGACATTTCATCATTGCTGGCGGCTGGCGCGTAGTGTTTTGTTTTGAGAGTGACGTAAAGCAATCAGAACTTGAGTTGCGTATACGGTGATCTTTTTATAGTCATTCATTTCTTGGTACGTCCTTAATGTGTCGGAATACGGTGCATTTACCCTAATGCAGGCATGGAATATATCTACTTGGCAAGCCGCAACTGAATTTTTTGAGCTGTGGTTTTGTGGATTTGCCAGCCGTGATTCCATTTATTCGAGCCGTGATTCCATTTCCCCGAGCCGTGAATTCCATATCTTGGCCATGAAAAGCCATTTACAATATGGTGATCTTTTTATAGCCATTCATTTCTTGGTACGTCCTTAATGTGCTGGAATACGGTGCATTTACCCTAATGCAGGCATGGAATATATCTACTTGGCAAGCCGCGACTGGATTTTTTGAGCCGTGGTTTTATGGATTTGCCAGGCGTGATTCCATTTATTTGAGCCGTGATTTCATTTCACCGAGCCATGAATTCCATATCTCGGCCATGAAAAGCCATTTACGAGGCACAAATTTATTTGCAAAGTCCATGCATATGTTACCCCAAATCTCTAATTTTACCCCAAAACAGTCAAATGGCAACGATAAAATTTTTCTTTGCTGTAAGTTGAGCACGTGTTAATGCAGTCTGACTGCTTTGACATGACC